GGGTCATAGTACAAGAAGGTCAGGTTGCCCTCGCCATCGCTTTCTGGAGGTTCATCTAAGCTCCAGTCCTCATCTTCAAACTCATCAGCCTCGGGTTTGGGTCTTCTCGAGCTCGATCTGGTCGTCCTTGATGGCGGTCATGAAGTTCTTGGCCACCTTCTGTGGTCGAAGAGCATGGGCGACCTGGTCGAAGGTGAGCAGGGCGCTGTGCTTTATGGCCAGGCTTTCACGTTGCTGGTCGGACAAGTTCGCGTGCTTCAGCAGGATTCGACCAGCGATCCTCGGAGGCATCTTCTCGCCCACCTGAGCTTCCATGCAAGGCCAACTCCTTCGCGCGGCATCGCTCAGGCCCTTAAGAAGAAGGCATCAATGGCCGCAGGGGCGGCCGCTTCGAGGAACGGGGCGCGCTTGGAGAAGATGGCACCCAAGATCACGCCGTATCCAGCTTCCAAGGCGGTGATCGTCATGTCGATGGTCTCCGCCAGCTTCCTTGGGGCCGAGTTCTCCGGGAAGGACATCAAAAGCTTCAGGCCCCATTTGCTCTTTGGGATGTTGTTGTCGAGCTCCAAAAGGCCAATGAACGAAGCCAGGAAACGAAGGTTCTCCACCTGGCCTGACCATTGGGGCATGCTCTCCTTTCTCCTGTCAAGGCTGCAGTCAATGCCTTGGCAACTTGATCTCCAGCCACTGCAGGATCTGTAGGCGCTGAAGGCGATGAAGTCGTCATAGGAGCTTTGTCCAATGCCTCAAACGCGGCTCCACTCAACTCATCAGGGTTGGCAGATGCATTCATTCCTCTCAGAAGAGTAGGGCTTCCCGTTTGGGATGGTCCAGACTGAGCTTGAGGAGGTTGAGCTGTAGATGGCATTCCTGAGGAAGGGCCATGAGCAAAGCCAGGAGGCGGTTGAGCTCGAAGCCAAAGGCGTAGTTCCTGCAAGGCCACCACCATAGCCAGAGCCGCACTGTGGTCCTGCTCCGGCGGCAGTGGTCTGGGTCTGACCTGCCATGGACGACGTGGCGAAAACACCTCCACAACCATGTGGCTGAGGTACTCCAGCATGAAGTCCAGGGGCCACTCCATAGGGCGCACCCATGACACCGGACCAAGTCCGGGCAGAAGCATCACCAACGGCCAGCTCCGCAGCCACCCACCATAGCGGCGGTACCCTGATCTGCAGAGCTCCAAGGGCCCATGGCGCTGGAGCCGGTCTTTGCCGGCTCCGCTACCACTGTGGGAACAGCGGAGTTCAAAAGAACGAGGTAAAGTGAAAGAAAGCACCGCTCCGTGCAGCGGTCACTTTGAATTGCGAGCGCGAACGCTCAAGGCGCCTGCGGTGAAAGGCTCTGCGGTCAACTCAGTCCACCAGGTCTCATGAGGCTTCCGTGTTCAGTTCATCAATATATACAAATAGCTTCAAAACCGGAGAGAAAAAGTGAACCATTCATTTGCAAATGAAATTGATTGACCTCCCACAACCTTCCGCATGCTTCTGAAAATCCAAGGCTCTCAAAACATAGGCTCGTGAAAGTTTATACGTGGAACCAAGACACCTAAATGTGACCCCAATCCCTCCAATTTGCTTTCCCTGTGACATGCTATGACATGCTTACGGCCCTTGTGCCCACAGACACCACGTGCCTGGGGTCACGTTTGATTCACTCCAGGCACAACTGTTGTGACGAAACCGCAGTTCTCCGCAAGCCTGACCCACCCACCCCAGCGTCTAACAATCGGAGCTGCTCCAATGACTCAGGTCACAGGTCTTTTAAGCGAATCCAATGCGTGTTGAAGGCTTTCCCTACTCTAAACAACTACAGTAGGAGGGGCAATCGCTCAAGGATGGTGGACTTTCGGTCATTGTGGAGAACGTGAACTCTGAGCTTGGAAGTGTCGCTCTGGATTTAATGCGATTCTCCTTGGTGCCTTGGACAAGCAACAGGGACAACAGCTCTTCTGAGTGAAAGACTCAGAAACCATCTGCAACACAAAGCGGACTTCCAAATGCAACTGCTCAGAAAATCTCAGATCAGCATGTGACATGCATTTCGCAAGTCAAAGCTCTCCTGAATTGGATGTAGCTCAAAAACGGTGTGTACCCAGAGACTCAAAACTGGTGTTCCTTTCTGGTGCACAGCTAAAAAGGTCATGTTCCTTCTGAGCCACAGCCAAATGATTTCACTGCTGTTCCTTTGCATCCGTCAACTGCCCGAGCTCAGAGCAGTAAATAGCTCCGTTGTGACTAGCTGATCCGTTTACTTTGGCACCCTTAAAATTGGTGCAAACGAAACAATTCAGAAAGGAGAGCTGTTTTTGCAGGCCGGTGCCTTTGGGGTTCTGTTCAAGCGCCTTTTTGGGATTGTTGCAAACCATACCTAGACCAGAGCTAAAATAAGCACAGAGAGCTGGGCGAAAATATGCCATGAACAGTCACATCAGTCAGGGACAGGTGGCAACATGTCCACCTTGACTTAAAGGACATGAGTCATGACAGACATAGCCCACCAAAAGCTATTCTGTGTTAAGAGTGGGTGCTTTTCTCCCATACCAAAGCACAGGACCGAGTCCCGCACCAGGCTCTCCGAAGTGATCGGAACATGCAACGAAGCCGGAAAAGAGGACGTTTCGGTGATGAGGCGAAGAAATCCAGGTGTTCATGGGATTTCTTTGTTTTGTTCGAAAAAAAGGCCGCCTCAAGGCCTGCATGTGGTCTAAAGGCTTGATAAAGGCTTTCATTCGGCTTTTCACCTCAGTTGTCGGCATCTCCGAAGAGTCCTTGAGCTCCTTGAGCTGTCCTTGCAGGAATCGGCCACCAAATGCGGCCAAACCTCTGGATCGAGATCGGTTCAATTCCGCAAAACTGGAGACAAAGCTCCATGCGAGCGAGACGGATCTGCTCCCAAAGCGGATCTCTACACGCTTTGGAACTTGGTGGCTGGCACCATGGCCCGGACACGTGTGGCGCACTTCTTGTGCTGTAGGTCATGGATTGTCGTGGCCAGGGTGCTGGGGTTCTGGGGTCGATTTTGAAGAATCCTTGGATGCAAAAATAGATATACACTTAGATAGATAAGATAATTATATATATATATTTACAATATTATGTGATTATATATATAAATATATGTAAAAAAATGCCACTAAAGCAGCATGCTGTGTTGTGTTTTGTGCGACACTTGGTCACCCCGATGGGGTGCCACCCTCAGATCTTTCGGCTCCTTTTCCGGGCGAATAGAACCATGGAGCACTGCAATCAACATCACATTGCGGCTCGATAACAGTGGATACAGTATACAATGATATGATGATATATGATATATGTGGATATTGCACTAAGGGTACTAACATCCAACAAGGTCGGGAAAGAAGGCGAAGAAGTTTATCATGGCCTAGACTCTCTGCCATCTATGATGGTCTATGATTGTCCTCTCAGTGCCAGCCATTTCCGCCCGGTCTCAGCTCCCGTCCCAGACGGCCTCAGGGCGGGCGCTGGGCATAGGGTGCGAGAATGACCAAGCCAGATCCATGAGTCTCTTGGTCATTGGTGGCGCCATTTGGCATAAGGCAAGGTAGTGAAGCCACTTAGGTCGCATATATATGGTTTGATCCCGGTTTTCTGTTTTCCCTGCAGCACCAGGTAGGGAGGCTGGCAAGATAACCATGAGTCATGAGTCATAAGTGAAACAGTGGAAATCACATGGCGGATTTCGAGATTGCCCAATCATACACCATCCTTGACAACCAGGTGTCGAACGACCATACCAGCAATATCCTTGTCTCTATACTGGTGAGCAAGCAGACACCTTGGTTACGATCTTCGCCAAGAGAGTCTGGGCCATCCCTCCATTATGTAGACTCTTGACAACTAACCCCCCCATATGAAGAGGTTCTTCAATCGAATCCAAGTGCGAAGGATTTAATCAAGAGCTGCATGGCCACCTGCTTGGTGCATACAGCCCCTCCCGTCGCCTAAAAAGCTCCAGACGTCGCTGGGGCCTCGTGGTCACATGGTCACGCGTTCATCCCAAAATAAGCTGGAATTTTGAAAGCACCTCTTTTGTCCAGAATGCAGCTGGAGTCCAAAACAGCTTGAAATGAGAATCACTTCTGAGACTGGAGGAACGATTCCCCACCACACTTGGCCAACGCCCCCCCCCTTTCCGGTCCGGACCGAGTTCCGGCGCTGCCGTCAGCCCGCGTTCCGTCCGTGCCTCAGGCGTGTTCCGTATCTTTTCGGACCAGTTGTCCAGCGCATGATTGCGCCAGTTGGTAAAGAAAGTAAAGCCGCCTGTTCCACAACACACTCACAAGACTCTGGGTAAACAATGGTTTGCTTTTTTCATCTTTGTTCTGGAGGCTCCCACCTGGTTGCTTGTCAGTTTGTTCCCTGGAACCAGCTAAGCGGGGTCAACCTCCTGACTCATGCGATTCACGAATTCCAGGACCGATGCTTCTGCGTTGCCAAGGAGAAAACCAAAGGCCTGGCGCGAACTGAAGAATGACACGTCCAGCTGAGTCCAGCTGATGACGATCAATCAACCCAGGGGGAAACATCCTAAAATATCAACCCACGAGCTCTGTTTTGTGCAGTTTGGGACTTGCTCAAAGAACAAGAAGAACTGCTTCACTTGCACCTCAGACTCCTGAAATGTGCGGATTGGGATTCTTTGACTTGACAAACCACCTGAACAAACGCAACCCAAACACGCGCCAAGCAGACAAGACCCTCCAAGGCCAGATGGCGCAGTTGCGACACTGTCACGGGTGCTGCCTCCACCTGCAGTGAAGAAATATGAAGCAAATGAATGGCAGGAGCAGCAAACACGCGAAACTTAAAGGAAATAGCGTAATTCTCTGCGTTGTGTAGCTCACCAACCTTCTGACTTGCAAGTTGAAGCAGGACAAGCCTCTTCATGCCCCTCCTTAAAACAAAAAACAGGACCCGCCTTGCCCCATCAAAAAGCGGAAGCATGACCAATCGTCCGACGGCGAAGCGCCGCTTTTCTTCAGGCCCCCTTTGGGGCGAAGGGCTCACGGCACTTCGGATGTCTCACATGACTCACGCGTCTGCCTCGCATGCGGGAAACGGGAACGAACGAGAGTTCGGCGATGCATGTGATGTGCAAAGGATGTGCTCTTTTCCCGAGATGTGATACCGTATCAAGGCAACATAGCCCACAAATCTTTGGATTCTTCGTTCGTCTCTAGGTCGGGTCATGGTCTTGAATCATTGCCGAGACTTCGCAACCTGAAGAGGCTATGTTCAATAGATTTGAGCTGAGTCTCATCCGCATCTATCCTCATGGCTTTGCTACCTCCATTGGAAGCAGCTCCCATGGCTTCTTCAGCCGCTGGTGGGTCCTGCAGCACTGGAACAGAGTTTCCTTGCTCGACATATGTAACCTGGGCAAACAAGAAAGCGTGGGACCCAACTCTAGCAAGACCAAACGTCCCAACCTGCGGGAGAATGCCAGTGCCAGTCCTTGCGCTTCACACCTGCCTCGTCTTGTATGCTGAGCACTCGCCAGGCAGGAGCTGGTGCTGGCACAATGGGGTCCAGCGGGCACTCCACCATGTCTGCAATGACGGCCCCTAGGATGCTGATGAAGTAATCACCCCAACCCCAGCCCCAAGCTTTGTCCCAGTGAAGGATCCGGAAGTCCCACTTCAGCAGATCCAGCTGATCAATGCGAAGGTTCAAGTGGGCCCATGCATCCGTTTGCCCTGAGGAGCCGCTAGCGCAGCGACACACTTGTGAGCATCCCAAAGGCAATCCATCGTTGATGGAGCCTGCCATTGGTGCTGTGAAAGCATCTGGCAGATCTGTTTCCACTGTGAAAGCTGAAAATGCAACACAGATTGAGAGGTTCGTGCAAGAAACAACACATGAACACACACAGAACCACCAAGTTGGCTTTGGAAAGCCCTCACCCCTCCTGCCTACAATGTTGATATAGACGCAAATCGATGCCTCATAAGGCTGAGGCGCTCGCCATGCCCGGCTACGTCGGGCATGTTCGATGCAACATGCCACGTCCAACAGATTGGCGCGACGCGACTCTCCCACATCCACCGGGATCACACGTTGCTCCGAGAGAAAGCCCACCATGTTGTGTTGATTGGGCCCATCACGACACGCACATTTCAGAATCAGTTGGATCCGCTGCTCCGAGGGAAAAAGCCGTAGGAGCGAGCCCACCACGGCCGTCAGCCAGGCCACATCCGGGCTGCAGCCGAGCACGTCCTTGACGGAGCGCAAGGCCAAGAAGATGCTCTCGTCCAAGCGGACCTTCTTCTGAAACCCTGGCCGGCGACCCCAATCCTCACACAAGATCTCGTGATGCACCTGAGTACTCGAAAACATTGCAATCATGATACAGAGAAAGAGAGAGAGAGAGAGAATGAGAATGACCAATTTGGAGGGGGAGACAAATGCAGAACTCTGATCTGCCAGACTCTCTCCAATTTACATTCAAAAAAAAACATCAATCAAAAAAACTCTGTGGCGCATCCTCGTTGGGGTTCGGCCGCCGCCCAGGCAAACGACCCTCGAGCGAGTTCTTGAGTCGATCTTGGAGCAAGGCCATGGGTTCAGCTGGTGCTGGGTGGATTTGCGGCCCCAGCTGCATCTCCTGGAGAAAGAACTGCTGCGTTTTTCCCCACAAGCGATCGTCAGACCTGGCAATCGTCCACAGTGCCTCCCCCAGTCACCTCAGCACCCCAGTGCCCTTGTTCTCCCTTGGACCTTGGAAAAAGACATCAAAGACATCAAGACCAAGCCAGTGGGATGAGCTTGGGATCAACCAGCCGAACCCCAAGACCACTGGAGCACTGAAGAACCAGCCGACCTGCTCACAGAGCGCTGAAAACCTTCGGTCGGAGGCTTTTTGTGTGATCGGCGTCTGCACCAGCCAACCTGTCTTGGGAACTTGACAGAGTAGACTACTACTAGTAACTAGTTATATGTGTTGTTTAAAAATGTATATTATTCAAGCGGCCTATTGTTATATATGTATTTTTACTAGTAGGACTTCTTATCCTTATCAAAGGTTCTGTGCCATTCCTCAACGACCCCCGCTGCAGCATCGGTCTTCCCGTCCTCTGCATACAGCCGCAGCAAGTCTTGTAGCAGGGCGTTGCCGCAGGCGCCATCGCTATAGGCATGGGTGATGCCAGCATAGATGTACCAAACAACCTCCGGTCAGGGTTGTGTCCACGAGCAATCATCGCTCTTTTCTTCTTTTTCTCGGCTGCAAAAAAATCGTCAGAAAAGCTTCAGGTCCCACCAGTCCCACCGAGCCACATCTTCGGGAGGAAGCATGCGCACCGCCTGTGCCAAGGGCAAATCCTTGGACAGAGCGCCAGCAGCGCCAGAGCGGACGAGTGGATATACGAAGATATGAAAGGGCCAGCGGTGTTTCGATCGCAAAGTCGAGGACTGCATGAACATGCAATCGTCATCGCTGAGCCGTTGGTAGTTCGGATCTCGCAACACTTCATCTGGCATCTGAATCTCAACCTCGATCGGGTCAGAGATGTTGACAAGCGGTAGGAGGTAGGAGGATAGTGACATGAAATCACAGCACACCTGCTTGTCTGTTCCTAAAGACCGCATTGTCTCGCAGAGGGGTCTGGAGAAACTCTGAGAACATGACATCAAACCCCGAGAACTGCGACCCCACGACAAAGGGCTATGCAGAGTGAGGCCAATACTGTGCTCTGGAAAGCTTTGGCGATCAAAACAAGCATATGAGTAGAGAATAGACAATAATAGAAATATATACACAACAGTATATAGATATGCATTAATTGTGTCATTGCTCAACTGCAATAAGGCTCATTCAGGAACAGAGAATCTGCCGAAATCCCATGACTATGGCTACGGTCCAAATCCAGCAACTGAGCAACCAAACTGCCTGTCTGGGGGATTCAACAGCGTGGCTCACCACCGTCAACCCGTTCTCAACCTATTTAACATCCCCAGCATCACCAACCCAGAAGCTCGTGCCAGGTGCTCCTCTTTCAGAAAAGTCCGGGGCCATGTCGCCATGAGCAAGCGGCGCACCAGGCGACCCAGACATTGCCATTTGGGAGAGCCATAGGAGCCATAGGCAGAGCAGATCCTGAGCGAGCAGGGCTGACAGATGTTGGAGAGGTGGCAGAAAGCGTGGGTTGGGAGCAACAAGAGGTTTGTTTGGTGAAGCGACAAGTATAAGTTGTAGAATAAACAAAAGACTTAAGAAACACTATAGACTCAGTCAGCAGCTATCATGAGCCTTGCATGTATATAACTGCATGCATATAGCTGCATCCCCAACTCTTTCCACCACGGGGGAAACCCCTTCCCTTTCAACCCACCGCCCAAGCCGCGCGCCACACGCGCTGAACGGTCTTCGGTCGAAGGCGCAACTGCCACATGGCCGCTGCCCGGTCCATGGCCTCCCGCATGGCCTCGTCGGGGCTTTGCACCGTGCGCAGCGCTGAGTGCCGCGAGACCAAGCGGTCACAGGCGCGCTGCAAGGCAGGCAGGTCCAAATGACCAGCACCAAAGCGCACATACCAATCCTCGGGGCAGAAGCGTTCACCGAAGAAGAAGATACATCCAACAAAGATGAGTGAAGCATGGGACTTGGTTGGCACTTTGTATAAAGATTCTGTGTCAGTGGCGTTTGGGGGGTGATTTTTCTCGAAACCACTCTTGAGAAGCGCACACGAACAAGCTGAGCACAAAGGGCCTAAGCGGCCTGGGGTACCACCCGTCCGCCTGGCCCGGTCAGCTTATAGACTCCCATGACATCCGTCGACTCCGACAGCGGCGTCGTACCGGGCATTTCTGCCTCTTCGATCCAAGGAACGACGGGCGACTTGGGGAACTCCATGAGGTAAAGCCGCCAGGCGTTCTCTTCATCTGGCTGTTCATGCTCTCCAGGCAACTCCTCACAGGAATGCCCCAGCAAGGAGGACAGGGATACACAACATTATACAACATGATTTATGGAAAAGAAATCCGCCCACACCGGTGGAGGGCGTGTTAGGGGCGGGTCAAGCTGGAATCATCGTCAGTCAATCATCACATCGTAATCAGTTCATAGCTCTGCTAGGGGGGTCCTCTTGCTTTTGCTTCGGGGAAAAATGTCTTACGCCTCGAGGGCCATGGGGGAGAGCGTTTTGGAGGTACATTTTTGGACTAATTCTGCAAGAACCCAAACAAGCCAAAAAACG